CTCTTGCTTGTCACTGCTCTGTTGAAAGTTATTAGCAGTCCCTGGTTAAGTGGCTGCAAGTTCCTTTTTGGTTAGATAAATCACAGTTTTGTAAGACAGCCCCAAACTGCCTGTCACAGAAGGGCTTAGGGACTTCAGGTGAAGAAACTTGCTGAAGTCAGAGTAAAAGCTTGTTTTGCTGTCAAAATGCTGCTGTAAGTGAAAATTGGGTTTATAATCAAGCTGATGATATGGTCTCTGAGTAAATTAGAGTTTACAAACTGCTCAGACTGGAGCAGGGAGGAAAGACCATGAGTCCAAGCCGAAAGGGCTTTGGATAATTGATTTGAGGCACATGTGGGATGTGTTGGAGTGTATTTGGGGAACTCTGCTGCCTACCAAGGTTTATTAAAATTGCTGGAACTGACTGCTGCAGGATGCTGGTTTTCTACTTGCTTGATTGGCTTCTTGCTGTTGCCGGTTATATTGGTTGTTCTACCTACAGGCTGCCTTAGTTTTAAGGATCAAGCTAGTGCTACTCTTCTAGCCAGAGCAGTCTTTACCAGGAACGTGTTAGACTGGGGAGGGAATTGTCTAGAGAAATAAAAGTGAACTTCTCTAACAGATGTCTCCGGAGTTTACAATTAAAACGAATTATGACTTGAAACATGTGCAGGGTTAAAGACAAGGCTGAAAGCGCTTGTGTTCAATAGTGTTTTTAAAAAGGGTAGTTTGTGAGCTCCCTGATCAAGATATATTTTTGGATGCAAGACGCTGGCTGCTGGGGAACAGAGGAAGGGGAGGAGGGTGGCAGTGGAGGGCAGCATGGGTCCCAGTGAGACTTGTGGCACTGGCTTTCCTGCCTGTCCTCAGCCTGCACTGGCAGCTGATGCCTTCCATGACCTGGAAGCACGGCCAGGCAGTCTGTGGTGTAAGTACACTCCATCAGCCTTAAAATGCTTTCCTGGAACCCCTGGGTAGGGGGTTGTCTTGTTGGGAACTTAGGAACAGAATTAAATCTGCTTTTGGAGCCTAAATGGTAGTTTCCTGTGTGAATTTTTTAGCTTTTAGGGTATCTTAGTTCATGGATGTAATGGTAGTAGTTTCATTCGACTTGACCTTTGGGCAAGAGACCTTGGACCTTGCTTTGCCTCGTGCTGTGCTTCTACTTCCTCACTTTAGCTGAAGTAATTAATACATTTACTAAGATGGGTCAGGGTAATGGTTTCATCTGCAGCAGTGGGCCCAACCCCAAGGGTGTTTTCCTGTAGAGGGGAGGGCAGAACCTGAACTTCTGTAAGTTGGCTTTTCTAGAAGGCGGCTCGGGGTGAGGGACCCTCCTGGTGGCTTAAACAGACTGAAATCTCAAGGCTGCCTGATTCTTAGCTTTTAAGCTCCTAAAGCAAAACCTTCTGCATGTTTCTTGGGGATCAGAAAGTGTCTGGCACAGTAACCAGCTACAGCTTTCTTCAGGTATTGGTTTAAAGTCAATGTTGTCAATATCAGGCTTGTTCATTGGCCATCAAGCCTTCCCAGATTGTGGGGAAGTAGAGAAGGCCACGCAGTGCAGGGTCTGATATGTGCAGTAATGGCTGAATTGTGGATGATACCAAACTGTAATTGAATCTTCCGTGTATTACAAGTTCCAGTTTTCCGTGAATTCCAGAGTTTGTTCTGAGTTGTAAATGGTCTCCCTTGGCAGCATCTGGAAGCAAAGACCTCAGTATGCCCAGTGTTGTGCCAGCAGTACTTTGGGAGGGACCCAGGAGTTCTCAGAGGGCAAACTAACCTCTCTGACAGGTGCAGAAGCTTGGCACTGCACTGTGGTAGTGGATGCTCGTCTCCCTTTGTACCTGGATAAGTGCAGCCCTGTGTAGCTACTGTTCTCGTTTCAAGCTTTAAACTTGGCTCTACAGGTCGGACGGGTGGGTGGGGCAAGTCTTGCTAGCACGTCAGCAGCTTGAAGGGAATGGCATGTTAACGCGGCCACGGGTGCCCTGCCGGGAAACTGGTGCTGTGTTAGCTTTGCCGGTGCGCGGCGCAGCTGTGTGACTACTGCAGCTGGTGGCCGTGCTCTGGAGGAGGTTAGACTTCCTCCTTGTGATCAGACCTGTTGTACAAAAGCCGGCAGGTTTTGTATTGCAGGGGCTCAAATGGAGGGTTTTTGCTAAACTTGTCCAAGCACAAGGGGTTTACCCGTTGCTTTTTACGTGGGCCTTTTAATCTGAGATGTTTCCATCTGTGAATTCGTAGAGCAGGACCTGAAATGCTGCCTTCAGTGGGAACTGCATCATGAGACTTGTGGTAATGTAAGCTTGTTGTAAGTACTCTCTTCAGTAGATCCTATACATGGCTTCAGGAAATGAGCATTCCTTCTAGCTGGAACTGAAGATTGAAGAAAAAGAAACAGTGTTTTGATGGGAAACTGGACTGCTACTTTGTTGTTGTCTCTCCACCTGTTGTGAGACTTCCCTTGTGTGGTATTGCCAGAGGTGTGTTTCATCTGGCGTGGTGGAGCAGCAGCAGGATGTAGGGTGAATGGCAGGGAAGCTTTGGAGCTCTGTTCCACTGTCTGCTAGAATTACATGCTTAAGCTGCAGCCTGTGCTCGTAACTATTTCCCCTTTATAGCAGGGAAGGTGCATGGCAGGTTCTCAAATATAGTCCATAGTCAGTTGTGGTCTTGTGTGGAAAACGTGGGTTCTTACAGTTGTACTCCTTCCGAGACTAGTGGTGTTGCATTGTATTTGTGCATAAAACAGGAGTGAAGGGAAAGAAAAAAAAGAGAGATTTAGGTAGTTGGTGTCTTTTCATAGATGTGTTTGGGGGTTTGAGAACAATTAAGTAATTGTTGCTGGAAGATTAGCCTGATAGCATTTGGAAGTGGACTGGACTTCTTTATGACTTTAGAAAGAGTAGGTGTGTTCCTGCTTCTGAGTTTTCATGTCCATGCTGCTGAATTTGCACACGTGGAGACTCACTTCATTCTCGTAGCCCTGACTGGAGTGACCCTGGAGAACCGAGGCCTTCGTGTGCGCGTGGAGCGGTGCGTGACTGCATGTTCCTTTGCCGCGCTGAGTGCGCCCCGTGGCTCCGCTTGCTGGTGCTGAAGCAGAGCATGGTGCGGTTTGTTACTCTCTTTTTCAGACTGGTGCTATCTGAAAAGTTTCAGAGTAGGTGCGCTTCTCTAGGGTGGAGCAGCATTCTTTTGTTTCTTGGTGTGTTACTTGACATACGTAGGGGTGTGCTAGCTGGTACTTGCAACCAGGAGGTGTGGAGGGAATGCTCACTTGGCTCAAGCTGGCCACTCTGAATTGGCATGTGTAACTGACAACTCTGAAGGGCCTGCCTCCTCCAGAGGGTGTGTGGAGATGCTCCCCACCTTCAGGAGGGAGTAGGCCCTTCAGCAGGTGCTGTGTGCTCAGTATCTACTGTCCAGGTTGAACCACGAGGTGTGGGAGCGGAGTTTGTGTGGGCCAGTGCTGTAAGCAGCTTGGTAGGAGCACTAGGAAAGCTTCAGTCTGTGGTGTCAGGTCAGGAGGCTTTCAGCTGCACTCTGTAGAGGTTGGGAGCTGCTGAGAACAAACCCAAACTTGTGTGTGCTTTACAGTAGTTGGGGTATGTGAAGCTTTGTGTTGCCTTGCAAGACTTCTGGGGGCTTCGTACTGAGGGGAAAAATCAAGGCTTACCTGTTGGATGTCAGTTTCTCTGGAACAGAAGAGGGTTAGGTTAGTGCTGGCCTCCCAGTTCGTGGGAAGCATAAGCTGGAACTCCCAGAGATGATCTATTCAAGAACTTAAATACTGCCTGTTAATAATGAAAGGCCATTCAGTGACAAGCTTTTTCCATTCCTTCCATCAGCCTGTCTTGATCATTGTCCTTAAATATGTTGTCTGTCAAAAGCTTCAGATAAGTCTGGTATCTGTAACTCTGCTGTGGACTGTTGCTGGGAACCCTTGCAGGCTGGGAGGTGTGAAGCTGAATGTGCAACAGGCCAGAGACAGCATGGGAGTGTTCCCTGGATGGTAGACTTAGTTGTTGTGGTTTTCTGGTGTTTGTTTGGCTTTCTAGACCAGGCTAGCACAGAAAAAGGTGTGACTATGTTCGTGCAAAGCAGGTCAGTGGCTGAGCCGGGAATATAGCAAAGTTTCACTTTCAAGTTTTTTTCTGTTTGCACTTCCCACTAATTGTCCACTTCCTGAGCAAACTGCTAATGTGAGTTACTGGTGACAGTGTGGACTCTTCTTTCTGATCTGGGCTGAAATTTTGCTTCAGATTGAAACCTGGTATAGTTCAGAAGTATTAGTAATTACTCAAACCGTTCAGGCAGAGCGATTGAGACTCATAATAGGATTTCTTCAGAGGAAAACTTGACTCACACAGGTACTTAAAGAGAGGTTTTCCGTTCATGGGCTAGCAGTCTGTAAGTAGAGAAAGCCTTGCCTTTTATTCCATTTAACCACCTATGTTTGCTGATGCGCACATCTGGAGATGAAACAGCTGCAGGTTATTGAAGTTTTGCACACTTTGAAAAGGCTACTGCAGGCTTGAGGTGGTAACCCAGAGCACTATTGCTGGAGCAACCTGGGAGCTGTTACAATATGGGGGCTAATAAGGCTAATGCTGAGCATTGTTGGATTGAGGCCACCTTATCTCTCTGTGACCTGGAGATAGTGGGGTGTATACTACCTTCATAATGCTTGTGATTTCTTACGTTTTATCATCAGTGAAGGCAAACCTGATAGACCCTATGACTTGCTGAAGGTTGCTGTGACAGAGAATGGAAAGCTGGAGAGGAAACCGATGCATATGCTAAACACCTTACCTGAATTTAAGATGCAACTTGGCTTTCTGGTGTCCTGGCTGTTACTTTTTTGGTGTTGCTATTCTTGTGGTTTCAGGAAGCTCACTGATGTGAGTGTTCATGAGCAAGAACGATGGCCAAAGTGCCACTAACAGTGTTTTTAGCAGTAACGTGACTGGTCTTGAAATTAAATCAAATAAACTGTTCCTGTTTTTTAGGAGTTGAATGATCTGGCACGTGATCCTCCAGCACAGTGTTCAGCATGGCCCGTTGGTGATGACAGTAAGTATGCTATTATCAGCAAACACCTGCTGTCTCTAACTTTTTCCTTCTAAAGTGGGACGTCCAGTTGCTTAGCAAGGAGAACTCTTCTGTTTCTTCTTTGGTTAGAGTACTAGGTGGTACTCCACATACCAGTCTTCAATTTGTTGCCCTTCTGCATCTCTTGGTACCTTCCTTGTATCACTGGAGATCTGGGTTACTCCCGTTTTATTGAATGGGCAGCACTGGGTACTTCTTCACTTAATTCAAAGGTGTAACTCTGCAGGGTGTAAGTTACCAAACTTCAGTGGCTCTGTGGCCAAACCAGCAAGCAGCTGCGTGCAGCTTTCTGAACTCCCGTGGTAGCTAATCGCCATTGGGTGTAGCCACATGGTCTTGTGGAAGTAACACCATCTACTCCTGATACTAGACATTAGAACAGCAGGTCAGGGTTAACTGGGTTTTCCACAGGAGTTAGTTAACGCTGCATCGTAAGAGGGTTACATGCAGCCCTTGGGGATAAGAGGTTAAAGTGTGAATGGAAGGAAAGCTAGTTGTTAAATTAGAATTTGAATCATGAGGTAATGTCAGATTTCTTTAAGAAGTTTAGTTTCTGTGGCCAAATGGGTATTAAGAACACTGGAAATGTTGCTTGTTCTTTAATCTGCTTTGTGCTATTGTATTATGGAGCACACCAGAGTATAAGAACTGAGAAACAGGTTTGGCTGTTAATTTTTAGGCAGTATTTCACTCAAGTTGTAATACTATTTGTGGCTTTCTCAGTTAGCAAATTTGGAGTGTCTAAATCCTGCTCTTCTGACTTTGACAAGTTGCTTGATTTGGAGGTAGCTGCTTAGATAGGAGGTGCAGGTGGAGCATCCTTAAATCACATGGTACTGTTCTGTTTGAAAAGTGTACTCCGATCAGTTGGCCCTGCCAAGTTCCAAGTAAGGGATAGCCCAGGAAAATCTTCTTGGCTTACACACCAGCTGTCTGTCTTTCCCATGCAAGGCTGTTCACCTGGTGTGTGATTTGGAGTTGTTCTGTCCTTTTGAAACTTGAGGAGCTGTGTTAAGGTAGAAAAAAAGCAGCTTTCCTTAAAGTCCTACTCCAAATATTTTTGTCTAACATTGTTTTATAGTAAGATCTACTGTCATCTTGTGCACATGTCTTTGCCTAGGGAGGAAGACAAGATAAAGCATGTGACTTGGCCTAATGGCGTTTATATGGATCCTCTTTATCTTAGCTGTGGGTAATGTTCTCCACCCTCGTTTGAGTAGCTGTGAATAAGGCTTCATTAATTGTTGCCCTGTACTTTAAAGATCTCTCACAGAAAGACATCATAAATTGCAGTGGTTTTGCAAGCTGTACAGTCTCCTCTGTATTAGCTAGGATTTTGCACTTTCTAGTGCGCTACTTTTTATAGCAGCGTTAAACTCTTGGTCATAATTGAGTAAGAAGGATGTTTGCAATGAGATATGAATGCTTGCAAATTCACCTTTTGCTTTACAACTTTACCATGGGCCTGCATTCAACTCAGTGGTATTTAGTGCAGAAAATGCCCGAGACAAGGGAATGAATTTACACTTTCTTGGAGATGTTCTGCTGTGTGAGAGGCTGTGTGAGAACACCTGAAGCTTTGACTGGGCTGCCCATTGAGCTTGCTGTGCAATGTGGTCTTTGGGCATTCAGCAAAGCATCCCAGCTCACAAGTAGCTTTCATTGAAAGCTGCATTTGGTTTTGAGGGTTTTTAGCAGTAGTGTCAAGCTTCTACTTACTCCACTTATTTCTGCTTCCAAAAAAGTATTTCAAAGAAGCTTGTAGTTTTATGGAAGAGAAATTATGAAGATGTAGAGCCAGTCAGGCTTTTTTTCCCTTAAATTAGCACGTGTAATTTGTGCCATGATAAACTACTGTGTAGTTTCCAGAGACTATTAGAGGTGGTGGAGATCGTCAGGTGGAGGAGGTGCTAATGTAAGTCGGTGAATGCTTGTAATGGGAAGTTACTACTGAATACAGAAAGCTTTAAAGTAAAATGTGGTTCTACTCGTGCCACCTTTCTGAAAGGCCTCTAATGAAAGATTTTGACTACTGAGAGCAACACTCTGGGCGCATGTAAGTGCATAGCAGTGGCAGCAACAGAAAGGTGCCTTCTCTGAGATCCCTGTGCTCTAGGTCTCCTCGGTTGCCTTGTCAGAATGACATTTCTGAGTGCAAGCACAGTGTGCCCTGAAAAGTGGTATCTTGTGGCTAGTCCAGCCGATGTAAACTGTCCCCAGCTACAAGCTGCTTGTCCCTGTAGTTCATAACCTTTGGAAAGTGAAGAGCTGTTTCTGCCTTGTTAACTGCAGGGACAGGGTTTTCTTTCTCTTGGCAATGTAGTTTTAGCTCTCTTCCCCCCACCTCTGGCCTTTGTTTCAAAAATATGCTTGGGACTGGATAATACTAGTATGCTTCCAGAGTGTGTAGTTGACTTCAAGCACATACCTGTGCCTAGCTGCTGTATGTCAGCAACCCCCTTACTGGGTAAATAACTTCTTGAATGGTTGATTTCAGAGTAAAGAAGTGATTAAAATAAGCTCTGCAGGACATATCCATCTTTTAGTTCATCAAACTTGTCCTGGATGTTTTGAGAATCTAAAGCTTTGGTTAAACAAGCACTTTCCTTGAGTCTGGGGTGGCAGTTAGAACCCCTACCACACACACACACAAAACCCAACCCAAAACCTACCCAAACCACACCTGTGACTTATAAAATGTTAAGATTCACTGTGTTTCTCGCTGTCCCACTCCAGGTGGTACGGGCTTCCTGTGAAGCTCTCTGAATCTTTTAAAATTGGTGAAGACTACATACAAGCATGTGAACCGCCGTTTTGGTTTCCTGACTCTGCAGTGAGGGTAGAGCTTCTCAGAAGACTAGCTGGTGTCTCCAGCTGTAATGCCCTTTGTAACCACCACCCTGCTGCTCTAACAAAACACTCCCTTGTCTTGGCAGGGCTATTGCCACCATGCTTTTTTCTCCTTCCTTGTATGAGATCATTGCCAGTTTTAATGTCTATACCACATGTAATTAAAAACTGCTTGTGCTAGATCAGAACGAGTAGTGCCACTCTGGGCCAGAATGATTTTGGCACAGCTAGACTTGAAAGCTGTAGCGACCAGTTGCAGGGTAAGTATGTACCTGCAAGTGGCTTCAGCTTCTCTTTCTTGAAGACTTACCTTGCCACAGCTGGAGTCTTCCACACAGTTCCCCAGTTCTGGAGATGTGATGTGGCTGACCTCCATGCAGAGGGAAACTTCCCGCAGTACTGTTGCATGTGAAGTTTGTGAAGCTGGTGCTCTTTGCGCAGCTAGTGTTAGAGCGTTTGGAGGACGCAGGAGCCCTGAGAACTTCCTAACGTGCTTCATGCAAATTAACAGCTTTGTTTTCCTTATGTTCTGCAGCATAAAGACATTCTTCACGAATCTTCATATTGCCAGATTAAGATGTTCTCTTGGACAGATGCATATGAGTGAGACTTAATTTTTGTCTGTTTAACCTAAAGTGTGTACTAGCACATCTTGGTCCCAGGTACTGAGCAGACTGGCATTCGTGCAGTCTCTGAAGACTTGCATTGCTTTCTGCTGCTTTAGGGAGATCCTGAGGCCTCTGGAGACTAAGTGTAAACATTCAGACAAGGTAACACTGGCTTAGGTTACCTCTTCACATATGGCATATACAAAGCTTAGGCTTACCCTCCATTTAACTAGAGATCCTACCTAAGAAGGTGTGAGTTCATGCTGTAGCTAGCTCCAAGGGGGCAGCACAGTCATTGGAAGCCAGGCTTTGATTCAGGTGCTTCGTTGGAAGTAACAAAGTTGAAATAACAAATGTGTTGTCTGAAATGTTGACTGTAACTGCTTGGATTTCTATTGTAAAGGGATTTTTTGCAGGGCACAACATGTGTGTGGTATCACAGCAGTCCCAAAGTGTGGACCAAGTGGATGTGGAGTGTTGAGTACTTTGCTCTGTCTCTGATTAATTCTTTGGCTTGCTTCCTTGCAGCCTTTCAGAAGGCTTTGTTTTTAAAGTAGCCTTTTCTGTGCTGCTTTGTCTGGAAGCAAGTATTTCATTACTTTTAGCTTCTCCAACTGAAGTAAGTCTTTCTCTTTTTCAGTGTTCCATTGGCAAGCTACAATAATGGGACCAGTAAGTATGAGAGAATTGATGCCCCTAGCTTTTTATGACCAGACTTCTTGCAGTAACTCCTCAAATGTCAATGATTCTTTTTCATTAACAGAATGACAGTCCCTATCAAGGTGGAGTATTTTTCTTGACAATTCACTTCCCAACAGATTATCCCTTCAAACCACCTAAGGTGAGTGGCTTGTATCACAAATCTCTTCATTACTGTATGGTCTGATGTCATATATGAGCCTGCACTGAAATTTTCCTTCTTCTGCAGGTTGCATTTACAACAAGAATCTATCATCCAAATATTAACAGTAATGGCAGCATTTGTCTTGATATTCTACGATCACAGTGGTCCCCAGCACTAACTATTTCAAAAGGTACCTCCAATGCTCATTTAATTTTACTCTGCTGAAATGAATTACTGATTTGGATTTAGAATGTAAAAACTGCTGTGTTCCTGCTGTCACCAGTTTCTGTGGTCACTGCTGCAGTCCTGTGACTCTACAGCTAGCGTGAAGCCAACTCGTGAGCGCAGGGTGCTCTGGACATCCAATTTCCCTGGGACTGTTAACTTTGCCAGCGGATCACAGAAGTCTTGCCACCTCACCTCAGAGTCTAAGCACTTTAACTGAGAAAACCCCAACAAAACCAAAATTAAACTTAGTACCTGACAGTGGGAGACTTCAGTGTTCACAATGCATGCCAAGTAAAATGTAGGGAACAGCTGTGGCCTTCAAAAAACACTAAACCTGCTTTGTTTCTCTGTCACCTTAAAAAAAGGCCCTTTTTCAAGGGGTACATCGAAACTCAGTATTCATCACTTTTTAAACAAAACCTTCAATGACATGACTAAAACATGTTTAAAACAAGCTGCTTTGCACTAGCTTAATGTTTGGTTTTTTTTTAAGCTAGAACCATCTTCAGCTCTGTGAACTGTGTTAGCTTGTGGGGCACTAGAATACATCCTCTGCCTGGTGGAGCAGTATTTATATTTAACGCAAACGGGAGGTTTAAAACACCACGAAGACCCAGGATTGAATTTTACTGATTTTTCTGGCTACTGAAAGTGTAGGTCTATGGCTGGTAGATCTACTCATGGCAATTGAGAATGTTTTGTCTTCTGTATGTGAATCATGGCCTGACCATTCCATTTTTGTGGCTTCACGCTATTTTTGTAATTCAGTGTGGCAAACACCATATTTAATTACAGTATCCTCCACACTGTCCCAGCTCTGTGAGGCTATCCTGCTGGCTCTGTTTCTTCTCTCCAATTACGTGTGATGCTCCTGGACACTTCCTTTTTGGCTCAGACTGGTACACCTCCCTTGCACGTCATAACTGTCCCTTTACATCCTTTTAAATGTCCCTTTTGCTGAACTCACAAAAGCTCCTACCTTCTCTGGCCAGCTAAAGGCATCTGCATTTGTAGAAACAGATGAAAAGGCAAAACAGTATCTTGATTTAGCTCTTGAAAGGAGTGAACCTGCTAGTGCACAAAGCTGAAGGTCCTCACTGAGTTGAGAGAACTGAAGAAATGGTTTCAGTCAAGGGGAAATGATTGTCAGGTTGATGCAGTTTTTGTTACAACTGCTTTCAGTCAATTGCTGATGACTAACCAAACCATTCTATGACTGTTGGAAGCACTAAGCTAGTACAAAGTACTGATGCTGTGTTATGCTTAGATTAAACTGGTGAGAACATTATAGTTGAAGAATGTGTAGTGTGGCACAGGATCTTCCTTTTCTTTGTTTTGGAGAATCCTAAATTGACAATACAAGTAACAGGCATCTGGAGAGGTGATAGATAGCAGGTTTGAAAAGACTGGAGGATTGGCTGGAATTAGGACAGTTGAAAAAAGATGGGGCAAGAATTTAAGACATCAGTGAAGGACATCAGTTGTCTACCTGTTAATGGTTGTCAGCTTAATCACTCACAAAATACACCTTAATATTAATTTTGCAACCCAAATACGATTGCAGTATGCTCCTATCAGCCCCATCTCCTCCTGTTCGCTGCCTTGAACTGTCCGTAGGAATGCACAGTCTCCTTCATATAGCACAAAACAGCTACAGGTGTAACCAGTGAGAAGACAGTCTTGGTTGAGATCCCTTGGTGTTCATTTTATGAAGGAAGTAAAGGCAGCGAAAGAAACTCTTAAGGGTGACTTCACAGAAATTCAGAACACTTTCCCTCAGAAGAAACAGGGCTGTCTTGTCAGAAAGCAGATCTCAACTAAGAGGCAAGAGCTGGTACTTAAAAGAAGCATTCCCATCTTGAACAAGTATAAATAAATTCCACAAAGGCAGCTTCAGACATGTAGGGTGGAAGTCTGACACAGTTTTAAACTGAAAGCAGTTGTAGACTCTGGGACTGTTTCAGCTCTCTGATAGCTCTTTGAGCCTTGTAAGCTTATGGAGTTTACATCCCTTCCAGAGCAGCGATTTAGTATTTGGAGTGTAGATTTCTTAGAGTATGTCCCAAATTGCAGCACCTTTAAAGGGGATGCCATTGGGAGCAAGCAGTTTTAAAATCAGTCTGTAAGCTGATGCCTACAGCACAGCTATTAACAAAAGCATGCTTTTTTTTTTTCTTTACTAGTAGAGAAAGTGGGCAAGACAAGAAGCAGTTCTAGGAAGCAGCTTACCCTACACAGCTTCCTCCTCCTCAGGCATCTGGTAGGCAACACTGTCAGCAGCTCACAAGGGGCTGGGTGTTATGTTGCAATTCATGTCTAGTGCACAAACATGTTTTTCACCCTAACCTGCAAGGGGGAAGGGGTATGCAGTGACATCCTTTTCATCTATAGTACCCCTTTTCTGGTGGGAAGACTGAAAGATCGCATCAGTGCTACTTAATCATCCCAGTTAAGTGGTAATGGTTGGGGTCTCTGCTCCTTGCACTCTGGAGGGTAGTGGGCTGCTCCAGGTGGTACTGGGGGTATCTGGCCTGGGAGCCTGCCCGCTTTGCTGGGTAAGACAGTGAAGGCCTGAGCATGGGGGCTAGTAGAGCAGTTTTATTTTAGAGTGCTAAATAAATAAGGAAGTTTCTCGCACTCTATAAGCAACTTGATAAAGTGTTCGTGGCTACAGTAGTTATCTTGGGTTTTTCATCTGTCTTTTGAAATGTTTGTCCCTCCTAGAATTCTTACAAGGGGCTCAGAAGAGCTGGGAGAGCAACACTGAGTGTCTCGGTAGAATAGCAAACTAACCTACGTTAGATTTACTAATACAAGCGTTCCTCAAGGAATACGTGTTGTAGAATAAATAATCTCAAAGTACAGTCTTAAGCATACCTTGGTGCTTAATTTAAACTCCAAAGCTTTAGCAGAATGCATAGGCTTGAATTAAAAATGTTGTCTTAAAGTCTGCACGCTTAAGTATCGTTATGAAGGATCATTGCCTTAAATGGATGAATAAAGTGTTTTAATGTGATTATAACTGTTCCCAGTCATTTTTGGGAAAATCCCACTTTCTCTTGAATGGGGCAAGCGGATGTGCAAGAGTTACCGCTAAGCTGAAGTACCTCAGTAAAGGTCAGGCTAACTTGCTGTGTCCTGTCCCACTTCTCCCTGTGTTTTATAACTGATAAACCGTGGAGCTTACGCTGAGTGCGTTGGGTTTGCTGCCTGGTGAGCCCCAGTGGGTGACTTAGCTGCTTTTGGAACAGCGTGAGCTGAACTCTAGAGTTAACTCTTCTGTGCCCACTGCAGTGCGACTTTTCTGTGGTGCTGCTCTGTTTAAGAATCACTTTACCAAGATGTACAGGGTGGGAATTCCCAAGTACTCAGCAACCTAAATGAACTTGGTCTTCACAGTGCAGTTTTCAAAACTGGGAACTTGCGTTCTGATCCTCCTTTTGGCTTTTGATTTGCCTGATGTTATGCTTAACCAAATAGTTGGGGGGTGGGGCACGGCACAACTTTGTCACATAGCATGGATCAGACTTTCCATGTGTGTTGAGTTAGGGTTGTATGGGAAACCTCCAGTTTAGGACTTCCTTCTCATTTACAACTTTAATGTAGCTACTTGTGTAGCTTCCCAGCAGTTGTGCTTGCTGCAGGGAAGGCTGCAGCAGGAGGAGTGTCGCTCGTGGGTACTGGTAAAGCCACAGTTAGAGCACTCTGCCCAGTGCTGGGCAATCCACAGTGAGAGACGTGGACATACTAGAGTCCAGTGAAGGGTCATGAACATGAAAGGACTGCGCATCTCCCATTATGAGGAAAGGCTGAGAGAGCTGGGGCTATTCAGCTTGGAGAAGGGGGAGGCTATGGGGAATCTTACATAAATACTTGAAGGCAGACTGCAGAGATGACAGAGACAGGCTCTTAGTGGTGCCCAGTGACAGAACCAGAGGCAATGGGCACAAAGTGAAACACAGGAGGGTCTCTGGCCATCAGGAAACGTCCCCCCCATCCTCTGAGGAGGCTGAGCACATACTGCCCAGGGAGGTTGTGGAGTCTCCATCCTTGGAGATACTCAAAAGCTCTCTGGACATGGTCATGAGCAACCTGCTCTGAGCAAGGAGGTTGGACAAGATGGGCTCTAGAGATCCCTTCCAACCTCAACCAGTCTGTGATACACTGAGCAAAACTTAACTTTTCTCTTGTTACCAGAAATCGTTGAACTGACTTAGCAGG